CTTCCCAGCCCGACAAGCTATTCTGAAGGTGTAAGGGAGCCCTGGAGTTGCATAAAGAAAAAAGTTCTATTCTAGCCTAGCTGCCATGTTATTAATGACAAACTAGCTCCCACCTTTCTTTGGATCTCAAATAATACACCCCAAGTGAGGCAAGGTAAAGTTGAGAGTTGAAGTCTAAGCAAAGAAAGCAGCATTAAATTATTTAAGTACTGTGTCTTCACTTTCCAATCTGCAAAATGGACATTTAACAGTATCAACCTTGCAGGGCTGCTATACGGACTAAATGACATGAGACGGGCAAAGAGCTTCCAGCAAATGCTTGACATATAGATGGTATTCAACAGATATGAACTTTGCATCCCTCTGGTTTAAGAGCAGCAGAATGTGCACCTCACTGAAGCAGAGTACCAGTTTCCCTGTTCTTTCCCACCTGCCTAGTGCCTGTGTACTTACCAGCCCCCACAGTGGCGATGGCACTCTCTTGGCCAATGATGTGCTCCTTTAGTCGCTGCTCCAGGGGAAAGCGGCGCCGCTCCTCAGCCTCACGCTTCCGCTGTTTTTCCATGTACTGAAAGGAGAGAAAGCACAGAGCTCAGGAACCCTGGGCCCAATTGGATCCTAGTTTTACTCTATCTTCCAACAACTCAGGGAAAACACAAGTTTGGGGCTCTAGAGTACATGAGTGCTGGAAGCTGGTCCAGTTGTTCTTACTCTCTCCACATCTGTCTGGTCATCCACAGGGAGAAGAGCCAGACCCTGCCCTATAGGGAGCTCCAAGTCAGGAAGCAGCAGGCGAGGCACAAAGAGCCAAACACTGTCCTCATTGTTCCACAGCATAAATGCTCAAGTCTAGGCTGTTCCTTGTACTAGGACTACTACTTCAAAAGTTTGCTGAGTATTTGTTGGTCTGTCCTCTGCCTCCATCATAGGCTCACTGAGAACAAGCACCAACCAGCACAGGTCCAGGCACAGTGGCACCATCTGGTAAGTGTTTGTAAAACAATTTAATGACAGAATTGATGGCTAGTTGGGATGGTGCACAAGTAGAGAAGAGAAGATATGTGAATATGGAATATTTTAGAGTACGTTCTGGGAAAACAGGAGACATGAAAAAGATGGAAGATTTTCAGTGCTAGATAGGGAGAGCTGACAGTGAAGCATTTATAGAAGCCAGAAGCTGATGGGGGAGGAGGTGAATCTTGGACTAGGAAGGACAGACCAGTTCTTCAGTGTGCTCCTTTCCCTGGAATCCCTGTGACAGACATCTTTCCAGAAAGGGAGCTGTCAAGGTAAGGTCCTGTCACAAAAGTTGTGGTTGCAGATTGCTCTTGTGGGCCGAGTGGATGAAAAATACCTGCGGCTTGGAAAGTGTTTTCCTGTTATGGTAGTGACCTTGACAGAAGTTAAAAAAAATAAATAGCAAACAATCCAATTTTGGCTGTTGCTATCAGTCTGTTACTGAAAGCTCCCATCAGTCCTGGGTTTCATATGGAGCAATAATTCGGCGCCAATCCCAATGGAGTGACGCTTGCAGCTGGAATCCAGAGTGTCACTGTGCAGCTCCCTCAGGCGCCACATATATCACCTAGCTCCGCCAACTCTAGCCATATATCTGCTGTTTCCTCCTCCCTGCCCAGCAGCCAGCTCAGCCCTCCAGCCCACTAGGTTGAAAGGCTCTTATGAGGAGATGTGTACTCTGGCTGGGACAGGGCTGGCTTGTAGTTGGGCCAGCCCAGGTAAAGCTGACTTGCCGGGGTTTACTGGTTTGCTTATTGAAGTACCAGACTATGCTAAGCACTTTATCAACTTTATCATTGTTTATAGTCACCTGAATGACTCACCTTCACTCACTCACCTGTTGTACAGAAGGAAAAAAACTTTCTCTCCAGACAAACCTCACCTTGTCCATTTACTAGCTAGCTGTCACTGGAAACTCATCTCATTGTGTGCCAGGCCAGCACTAACACCTTCAGGACCCTTGAGGGGGAATGCCATGGAGATGGCCTGGCACCAGGGGCTCACACCTGTAATCCTAGCTACTTAGGAGGCTGGGATCTGAAGATCAAGCTTCAAAGCCAGCCCAGGCAGAAAAGTCTTTAGTATCTCTATTAAGTTCTCAGGCAAGGGGAAATAGTCTTCGGTTACTATGGAGGTAAGCCTGTGGGAAAGGCTGCATGCACCATGAATGGTTTTTTTTTCAGGAGCTTTCTCTGGGCATGGTTCCTAATGGGAAAGGTTCAAACTATAGCCTCAGTCTCTGAGCACATCTTGATTATCTTCAGTCTGAAGGCCTGAATATCTTCACCTAGCCTTTGCAAGTACACTGGCCTTCCTTGATACATACAGGACACTAAGATTAAACCAGAAAAAGGTTACTGTTTAATATTCATATTCTTTTCTAAGCAGAGTTGTCCAAAAAAGTTTAAATTACTCTTTTTTTAGTTGTTGCTGCAGTGCGAGAGATCAACCCGAAATTCCATGCTAAGCACCAACGAACTACTTTTAAAAGCCCAGTTTAGTGAAAAGCTCGTCAGTGGGAAAAGTTAAAGAAGGAAAATACTTGGTTTGCATACGTTTGGGAAGTAGGGAGAAGGGATCCCTAAATATAAGCTATGGCTGTTTCTAGCTCTTTGAGGAGATGGGATGATGACTAAAGAACTTTGTTCAAGCCTTCTACTATCTGGAAGAAAAGGCAAAGCAGGTAACCCAGACCACAGAAGCAGAGGGCACTGGATGGAGAGGCAGCCAGGAGAATAAGAGTGGGAGTAACCATTTTCTTAATAAAAGCCTTGTACAATTAATTCCAGAAGCTCTCACCTGGAGCTGGCAGCCACCAGCTTCCCATGCTGCATCTTTGCTGGATAATCATAGTCACTGGTTTCCATCAGTCTTGATTTGATATGGCACCTCTCCTGGCTGTGAGTGCATTTACAGGAAAGGGTTGGGAGGCTAAGGCAAAGTGGTGCTAGGCTTGTTCCATTCAGATGTGCGTGGCTAAGCTGAGTAGCTCTGTGGGGGATGGTTTGGGGGAGATGGGGCATGGAAGGCATTCTAACTGTTGGGAATCCCTCAGAGGACAGAAAAAACAATGAAGCTGGCAGTAAAAGGGTGGTGAGTAGGCAGAGTAAGACCCTGTCAAGAATGGGGTAGGGAGAGTGAGCAAGCTGAAGTTGCCTCTCAGGGGGAGGTTAGGCTTCTCACAGGCAGGCAGGGCCCATACTCCCAACTCCCTGATCCACACCTCAACTCACAAATCAGTCAGGACCTCTACTGGGCCAGGAACAGGATGACAAAGATGTAAACAAAGGAGCCTGGAGGATGCGTGAGACTGGAGGGAACATGAGACTGGGATGAGATGTGCCCAATGGACTTGAAGGTCACTTGAACTAGTACCACAGAGGAAGGCTGCCTACAAAGCACTCATCAGACGTGGTAACAACCAGATCAGCTTTTAGAATCCCTTCTCCTCTTCTTCAAGTCCTTCCTTTTGTTGTTAGAACAGTTTATTTTTTGGGGGGGAAGGGGAGAGGAGGAGGAGAGGCTAATTTCTGAACTCAAACAGCAGAGCCTCTAGCAAGTATGTGGCCATTTGAGCTACAACATGAGCCCCTTTTGTTTTAGTTATTTTTCAGAGAGGATTATATGCTTTTGCCTCGGTCAGCCTTGGGTTTTGAGCCTCATGTTTCCTAAGCAGCTGGGAGTAAGATGCGAACTACCATGTTCAACTTGTTGTTTGAAATAGAGCTGTGTTTTTTCCATGGAAAAACACTTTTGCATGATCATGTTTTACTTTTGCAAACAGCTAGATTAACTCAGAGACAAGACTGATGACAGATGGTTGAGAGGAGCAAGAAGTGGCAACAGTGAGGCAATGAGTTCACGTGCTTTTCACTGTTTAACGGGTGTATTATACTGATTTATCCCATAACTACTGATACTAATTTAAACTTTGATCTGTTGGCTAGAATGGTGTCTGCTGGATTTCACCACTACTATTTTCCGCTTTTCAATTAGCAAGTACTTTGTAGGGAAGAGACTTTTACACTATCTTGTTACTTCTCAAACTGGCACTCACTACATTCAGCATCCAGTGATGGATCTTTCTTGACCAGTGTTCTGATGAAGCCCTATGAAGTTGACAGTGTCACCATCCTTGTTGTAGAGATGAGATAAACTTACCAAACTGTACTAGTAACAAGAAACACCAGGCCACACAAGCAACTTTCTGGGGATAAAAGAAAGCCTATTCCCACCTTCACTGAAGCAATATATTCAAGGGGATGAGACAAAACACAAAATCTGTTTTTTGACAGTACTGAGGTTTGAACTCAGGGCTCTGCGTTTATTAGGCAAGTGCTCTATGGCTTGAATCATGCCTTCTGTCCTAAAATATAAAATTCTCATCCCTGTTTCTAGTACAGGACTACGTAATAATTTTACTGAAAATAAACACTAGAGGATGTTGTCAGAAAAGCATTACCTGAGTTGATATATCCAAATAGAGGGAGGACATTATACAAAATGACCAGCTTGTTCAAATGCTGAGGCCACAAGACACGTCTGGAGGACTGGTCCAGATAAAGGAGCAGAAACATGAGCCTGGAGTAAAACTTGCCTCTGAGATTTTCTTCTGTTGTAAGAATTACTGGGAAAGTTGGAAAGATCAGGATAATGCCTATAGATAATTTATTATCAAGGTTACTGCCATGTTTCTGGTGATGGATGCAGCTGAGTGGCAGAGCACAAGCCATGAGGACCCTGGCGTCTTTTTCCGTCACTGCCCTTCTCCCCAAGTCCTAATTCATATTACTTACACTTTTTAAATAATAAAGTGTGAGAAAATGTGAAGTTTATAGGCACTTGCCATATAATTTCTGAAATTACACAAAAATGAAAGGTAGAAACAAGATACTGCTTCCCCTTGGGGAAAGGGCAGTGGCTAAAAGAGCAGAGTATGTCTGGCAAAAAAATCCGTACATTTCTGGTTTGTGTACCTTATATAACTACATTTCAACAAGCAGGTTTTGATTTTTTTTTAAGTTCCAATAAGGCACTCAGCAGTGTGTTGCCCATCATGATAAGCCACGTGGACAGGCAGAGTCAGGCAAGAAGGCACCTACACTGGCTGTACAGGAGGGCGCACAGGGAGAGGATGTCCAGGAGGAAGAACCTCTCCCCTCCTTCCCTCCAAGCCTTCACTCAGCTCAGCACTGTGGGGAGCACCCAGGCACTGAGCCAGGAGTATGGGCCCAAGGGAGCACCACATCCCCAGCTACCCTGAAGCAAATGAAAAAATATAGATAGAGAAAATGTGCTTGTGAGGCTGTCACTGGGATATGCAAATAAAATATATAGGATAGGCTTATCTGCCTAATATTCCTGCCAATTCATTCTCTGGGTGTGATTAAAATGAGCAATAAATTCCTCCGGAGTCTCAGTGGAGTGAGCATCGAAAGAGGCGATGCGGGCTGGCACGCGAGCGTCCCCCTCAGCTGAATATTCATCATGGGATAGCTCCCCATATTTTTGTTTTATCTGCTATCATGTGCTCAGAAATATATTTCTACCTCTCTTTCGTCTCTTAGTTAGGGCACAAAAATGGTCTAGGCATTAAGAATTAAACTCTTCATGCATTGAAATCATTCAAAGTGAGACCCAGGCAACTCCTCTACAAAGCTGGTTCTGCTGATTCTTCCAGAAGGCGGGTGAATCCTCAACCTTGCAGGCCCATCAGCTTTGAATGGGGCCCTCCTAAGGCACCAACCAGCCCGCAGGTATCAGAGCTCAGAAAGCCCATCCCACCCCTAGTTGATAGCAAGCTTGGGGCAGTAGCTAGGCCTCTTTCATATCTGGATCTTTTCAGAGAGGCTAAGGGGTGTTAGGCTCAGGGAATACTGAGAGCACCATGAACCTACAGTGAAGGATGACTTTCGTAGACTTTAGGCCACTTTAGGTAACAAGATTCTTAGAATGATATTTTAAGATGCAGAATGAAATTTTAAAAAATGGGCTTATGAATATTTTGCTCTTATGGGGTTCAAACTAAGGTTGGGCCTCTTGCTTATTAGGTAGGCACTTCATCACTTAAACCATATTTCAAACCCTGTGGATAGATTTTTTTTTTTCAATTGTGAAGCTTCAACTCTGGGCCTGGGTGCTGTCCCTAAGCTCTTGAGCTCAAGGCTAGCATTCTACCACTTGAGCCACAGCCCCACTATTGGTTTTCTGGTGGCCGATTGAAGATGAGTCTCATGGACTTTCCTGCCTGGGCTGGCTTTGAACCGGGATCCTCAGATCTCAGCCTCCTGAGTAGCTAGGATGATTACACGCGTGAGCTATCTGATATCTGTGCTCGGCTCCTATGGATAACTTTTAAATGGGGAAATCGCTAATAATACTTAGTGGAAAACTGAGTGGAAATACTTAGTGGGAAGGTGGCTCAGTGGTAGAGCGCTTGCCTTACATGCATAAGGCCCTGGGTTCGATTCCTCCGCACCACATAAGCAAAAAGAAAAAAGCCGGAAGTGGCGCTGTGGCTCAAGTGGTAGAGTGCTAGCCTTGAGCTGAAGAGCTGAGGGACAGCACCCAGGCCCAGAGTTCAGGCCCCACGACCGGATCCAAAAAAGAAGGGTCAAGCAAAAACTATAAATGCTTGACAAGCAAGGATATAACATTGCATGGAATGTGGCTGGAGAGTCTATATACTCCCAAGCCCTGTCATTGTCCTGAGAATAGGTAGATATGGACATCTAGTAGACACATGCATAACAATTGATTTATTATGAGACACCTGCTTTCTTGCTGCTTCAATATTTCTATCTGTAAGACAAGTATTAAGAGGTACTTCATGGACTGAAAAATATCTTAGAGCACCTTGCACAGTACCTAGTGGTACAAAATTAGTAGTATTTAGTATTATAAATAAAAACATTAGGACTAGAATGTTTTTAATTGAGTGGGTTAAATAGTGCTTTTACTTGAGAGTGGGTTAAGTTGACATCTCTTCCAGGAAGCCTTCCTTGCTAAGTTATACCCCTGATCACCAGTGGCATCCTAATAAATGTGCCCATCTTGCCATCAGATTGTGAGCTCCTGGAATATTTTACTCATCTGTTTTCTTTCCACCTGGCACACAGACCTCATTATTTAATTCTGTGTTTAAACTGTATTATTTAAATTTTCTACATCTTACTTTTCTCTATTCCTAAATCTTGATGGATTACATATGATGCTAATATTCAAACTTTCTACTATGAACAGAATTTGACTAGAGAATTAATTGAAAGTCAGGGTGGAGGAGGGGCTGAGCTGGGTAGTAAGGGGAACACAGGGTTGTAAGGCAAGCAAGATCAGAGCAGAAGGAACTAATGCATAGACACAGTCAAGAGAGGAAGGCCTGAGGCTGAAGCCTTAGGGCCCTCCAAGCTTGAGTCATGGTTACAGACGCATGAACTAACCTTCAAGAGGGGCAGCTGCTTTGTAGTAAGTGGCAGGAGAGAGAATCCAGATGTAAAACAATGTTCTCCCTACAAGAATCAGCCTCCAAGACGTTTGTGCAGCTTGGTGGGGAACCACCACCATCAACAATACAGACTAGAAGTGGATGCTATCTGATGCTAGAAAGACCCAGGGAGAGCTGACGGTGGTAAATGGGAACAGAGCAATGAAGTGGAGATAAGATGCTCAGGGGACACTTGGACTTTCAAAAGTCTCCAACTGGCAGAAAGGATCCAGAGTACAGGTGACACTGGGTGGAATATTATTTCTGATAGAAAGCCTCTCCCTGCAGTTGCTCGACAAGAATAAGCGTGACCTTGTTCCAGCTTTGCAGGTGGATGTACCTGTCCCCTTACCCAGAGCCATTACTGAACCTATGTGAGACTCTTCTCTCTGTCAGATGCCTTGTTGCCTTCAGCTTTTTCTCATGGCACAGTTCCTTTTGCTTCCCTACTGCCCTCCTCAGATTCTAAGAGGTCTAGTCTACCTAGAGCAGGCTGTTGCTCTCAGTGCTCCAGAAGGGTCAGGCTATACAGGAGAGTACCTTGTTCATTCTTTACATTAGCCTTAGTAACCCCTTCACCTGCACTGGCCCTATGTTGCACCATCTGACAAACTATGGGAATTCTGAACTAAGTCCAGCATGAGTCAGTAGCAGTCCCTGAGGCAGTTTGAAACTTCTAGGGATTTCTTCCCGGTACACCAGACCCTAGGCAACATTCAGGGCTGCTCTTTGGGAGACAGTCTGAACAAAGGGAAGGAAGCACTTGACTCTTGGAACTTAGTAGCTCCTTCTGGTACCTCCCCCTACTCCCTTGTAGAAAGGCTGTGAAAAACTAGTGACCCTTTCTAACTCCATTTATTGCAACAAATAATGGCAGCAAATTACGTGATCATGGCCCTTGTGGTTGAGGGGATCATGGGATTGGTTCTAGCCACTGAGCTGTGCCCAGGTTACTCATGCTTACAAGCCTAGTTACTCAGGAGGCTGAGATATGAGGGTCAAGGTTCAAAATCCAACCCCAGCAAACAAATCCAAGTGACATATCTCCAATTAAACCAGCACAATGCTGGAAGTGGAGGTGTGGCTCAAGTGGTAGAGCACCTGCTGTGAGTGAAGATGTTGAGTGAGAAATAAGCTCCAACACCAAAAAAAAAAAAAAAGTCAGCTTCCAGACTGAGTGTTTGACTGTAGACTTAAAGCCCTTTGGAACGTTCCTTTCCCTCTGGCAAGCACCAGCAACATTCTAGGGATGAAGTTGGCACTGCCAGTTAGGATCCTAAGTGCTTATGAGCGAAGCCAACCCTTTGACCCTAACAGCAATCACACAATCACACACTGAACTGAACCATTTAGTTCAATGTTACTTTACAGAGTTTCAATGAGGACAATGGTTCATAGGTTCATACAAGCTGAGATCAGAACTCTACCTGCATCTGTCTTAGTCTAGTGAGCCAAGTATTCTAGTTCAAGTTAGAGAAAATATTTGCCACTAGGTGGGATCTGCCATGCTGAATCCTCTCAAGGTACATCAGCCAATTTGTGGACAAGAGACTCCAGGGGAGTAAGACTGAGGGTCAGAAGCCAGGCCCAGTTCTGCTATCAAATCTACTTCATGACCTTGTGGTCAAGCCATAGTTTTGATGTTAACTCAGTCTGGGGCTGAAGTATAAGTTGTATCATAGCCCCAAATTCCAGCTTTCTCAGCATTAAAATAAGTCAGTTTATTTGGATTTCAAAGACTTAAAACTCATGCCCACTATGGGGGGTCCTCTTAGAAGAAAAGGGTCCTGTCTAGACAGCTCATTTTCCTTCTGATTATTTGTTTGTGCTTTTCCTAAGACTTCGCATCACTAGACCTGATGACTTCTCAGGTGCCTGCCAGGTCTATGATTTGTGATTCTAGTTCTTGAATTATGCTCATTAGTTCTGAGTAACAGCTCTGTGTTGGGGAGAAGTAGAATTGCTTTCAGGAAATTCAGAAGTCTAGTAGCAAAGATCAAATTAAGATGGATATATTTTTGGCTCAGATGCTGTACCAGGCTCTAGAGTATGTGTGGAGGGGAAGGTAAAGGACTGATTCTGAAAGACTGATGATGGGAAAGGATGCTTGATGAAGCTGCAGGTACCTGAGGCTTGGGGAATACCTGTACTCAAGATTTCATCTGGCTAATTTCCCTTCTCTGAAAAGAACTTGGAGGTCAGAACCTCAAAACTGAATTTGAGGTTAATTCTTTTTTTTTTTTTTTTTTGGGTCCGGTCGTGGGGCCTGAACTCTGGGCCTGGGCACTGTCCCTCAGCTCTTCAGCTCAAAGCTAGCGCTCTACCACTTGAGCCACA